CTCCAACACTGGGGATCAAATTTAAACATAAAGTTTCGATGGGACACACATCAAAATTATTGCATTAATATTTTAGGTAATAGATAGGTCAAGACAATTATACTTTCTGAGTGAATTTTTTTAGCATTTAGTAGCAACCCTTTTAATCTCTGATTATGCTTTTTGACTTAATGACTGCTTTTCTTCTAACATGAATATTGCTATATTAGGTTTCTTTTGTTAATAATTATGAATATATTATATTCCAGCTCCTTACTTTCAACCTTTCTTTTTTTTTTTCTTTTTTTTTTTAATTTTGAGACAGTCCATCACCCAGGCTGTAGTGCAGTGATATGATATTGGCTCACTGTAACCTACACCTCCTGGGTTCAAGCGATTCTCCTGCTTCAGCCTCCTGAGTAGCTGGAATTACTGTTGTATACCATCACACCCAGCTAATTTTTGTGCTTTATTAATAAAGACAGGGTTTCACCACTTTGGCCAGGCTTGTCTTGAACTTCTGACCTCAAGTGATCTGCCTACCTTGGCCTCCCAAAGTACTGGAATTAGAGGTGTGAGCAACTGCTCCTATTTGTTTCAACCTTTCCATGTCATTCAGTTTTTTGAATTACAGGTTTATTGAGATATAATTTGTATACCATACAGTTCACTTTTTCAAAATAAACCATTCAGTTTATTCAAAGTTTTGCAACCAACATTACTATCTAATTTTAGAGCAGTTTTTCATCACCTTGAAAGGAAACTTTATACCCATTAGCAGTCACCGCCTATTTCCCACCTCTCCCTTTTCTGTGGTAACCACTAATCTATTTTCTGCTTTCTATCGATTTGCCTGTTATTATACTGTGGCCATTCGTGTCTGGCTGTTCACTTTTCATCTGTATTATAGCATGTGTCAGTACTTCATCATTTTTAATGGCTGAATAATATTTTATTATATGGATATACCACACTTTATTTATCCATTGGTAGATATTTGGGTTGTTTCTAATCTTTGGCTATTATAAAAAATGCCATTATGAACAATCATGTACTGGTTCTGTCTGAGTGCCATTTGTTGAAAAGACTGTTCTTTGTTATGTCATGGGACTCTTCCTAAAATTCAGTTGACCATGTATGTGAGAGAATTTTCCCAATTCTATTCTATCGATCCATTCTTCTATTTTTATTCCAATACCATGCTATCTTGATTACTGTAGCTTTGTCATAACTTTTGAAATCAGGAGATGTGACCAACTTCTTTTAGCCAAACCCTTTGCAATTGCCCCTTCTAAAGAAGAGTATATTTCCTCACTGCATGCCTTTGGCTGAACTTTGTGACTTACTTTGGCCCATGGAATAAGGTGGAAGTGACAGTGTGATAAATCCAACCTAGTCCTTAAGAGGCTTCATGTATTTTTGTTCTCCTCTTGAGCCTCTAGACTAACCCAAATTTACCCAGTGGTCTTAGGAAAATGCAAGTCATGTAGGGCAGAGCTACCTACATCAGCCAACCCTAGACCTATAGGAGAGCATCCCTAGCTGCTTCAGTATGCATCAGAGATGTCCCACCAAACCAGGAGGAACCTCAACCAACCTGAAAACATAAGAAAAGAGGCCACCAGTTTCCATCAGGAAAGCTAGGATCTTCCATGAGAAGATCATCATGTACAAATGTCTTAACTCTTCTAAATTAGTCATTTACAAACACTGTGCATGTCCATTGGGGATCAGCAGGGATTGAAATAATTAGAACAGAATCTCTACTTCATGGTCACTAAGGGAACCAGAGCCTCTACCACCTGCTAGCTACAGTCTGGAGCTTGTAGCCTTTTCAGCTATCAACATGAGAGTCAAGGCTAAGAATGTACCCCAGATGTCAAGAAAGACTGGACATAATCAATGCTGGAGTGAAAAGGATCAACACTGGAGAGAAAAGGAGAAGAGGTAAACATAATGACGGTCTGGAAGATGAATTGAATTTCATGGCAAAAGGGACTCAGGAAGTCATTCAGCTATCTGGATGTGAACCAATTAGAAGCAAGTGTCTATTCTTTATATGGGTCATATTGTTGGATTCTATCTCATGGGAACCAATAGCTTAAAGTGGTTTTCAAACAAAAGTGTGAAACTTGCAAATATGGCAAATGAAAGTGCATAATGTAAACAAGATTTTAAATGGAAAGTACTTCATTCTTCAGGATACTGAAGGAAAAAATGTTTTAAAAAATGTTAGCAGCAAATTTCAATAATAAATATACTGGATAGACATTATCTGTCTATCCAAGTATTGAAACTACCAATTTTTCTGTCTATTGAAGTACATATTTTTAGACATAATAAAAATTAATTTTCCTTAAAAATTACTTGTATTTCTCTTCTTTTGGTGATTATCCTTAAATATGAACATGCTTAGTGGGTATAACCATTTAAATCTAATCACCGTCACTCTTCTCTTGAATAATTCAAGGTTCTGAAGATGCTTTCATGTTTGTCTAACCCCTTTTCCTCTTCCATTTAGTTGTTTACTTTTATAGATCCTCTTTGTTCTTTACTCCATTACCAATTAGTCTTTTTTTAGGTCAGTGTTTCTTTAGATTTACATAATGTTGAGCATTTACTTATCTTCACTTCTTTTTTATTTTTCTAGATTCAATCTTCTTCCTTCAAAGTATATTCTTTAGTAGCTCTTTCAGTGAAGTTCTTTTTAATTCTCACTCTTTTGAAAAATATTGTTTTAAAAATTGTAATTTTTTTCATAATAATGGAAATCAACAATCACAAAAAGCAGAAAAAATAGTATTGAACCTTTTTATACTCCTCAGTCTCAGCAAACACACATGTATGGCTGCCTTCTCAAACTGTAGTTTTATTGGATATAGTTTAATTGAAGATATATTTCTGGATATTGTTTTGAAATGGTATCTATTACAGCCTAATTGTCTTTCCTTTATAGTTAGCACAATTGACATGTTTGATTTTGGAAAATTCTTTTTTTTTTTTTTTCTTTTTTGAGAGGGAGTATCACTCTGCTGTCCAGGCTGGAGTGCAGTGGCTTGAACCTCCTGGGTTCAAGCAATTCTTGTGCCTCAGCCTCCCATGTAGCTGGGATTACAGGTGTGTACCACCATGCCTAAGTTTTTGTATTTTTAGTAGAGATTGGGTTTTGCCATGTTGGCCAGGCTGGTCTTAAACTCCTGAACTCTGATAATCACCCACCTTGGCCTCCCAAAGTGCTGGGATTACAGGCGTGAGCCACGACGCCTGGCCTAATTCTGGAAGATTATTTGGCATTATAACTTCAAATATTTATTTTCCATTGTGTTTCTATATTATTCTTATGGAACTCCTTTCAGAATTATTCTTGACCTTATCATTCTGTTCTCATGACTCTTAGCTACTCTTCCAAAAAGTATTTTTGTCTCTCACTGCTATAGATTTGGTGATTTCTTCAAGTCTACTTTCCAGAATAGTCTTTCTTCAGTGTTTCTAATGAGCTTTTTAAGCCATCCATTGGATTTTAAATTCAATGACATGACTTTTTATTTTCTAGAAGTATGATTAGGTTCTTTTTTTTTTTTTTTTTTTTTTGGTTTTGAGTTGGAGTTTTGCTCTTGTTGCCCAGGCTGGAGTGCAATGACGTGATCTCAGCCCATCGCAACCTCTGCCTCCTGGGTTCAGGTGATTCTCCTGCCTCAGCCTCCCAGGTAACAGGTATTACAGGTATGCACCACTACACCTGACTATATTTGGTTATTTTAAAAAATTCTTTCATAGCTCATAGGTATCATAGAAACCTGAAGTTGGTCATTATAGTTTCTAATCCATTTTAACCCTTTAATAACTATATTTTTAATTTGGGCTTATTGCTGTAATACAAACATATGAAATGAAAATCATAAACATAAATAAAATTAGATGAATTTTTATAAAATGAGCATTCTTTTCTAACCAGCACCAAATCAAGAAGCAAAATATTTCCAGAACCCCAGAAATGTTCTCATGCCCTCCACTAGTCACACTTCCCACCTCCAAGGTAAATGCTATCCTGACTTGCAGGGCCACACTTTAGCTTTTCCTGTTTTTGAGTTTTATGTCACCTAAACTATACAGTGTAAATTATTTTATGTTTTTTATTTCTTCTGCAGATGATCTACATGCTCTTAATCTTAATACTTGTGAATTATGAAGACCCTGTATATATTTTCACATTAATTTCTTGGCTCTTTTACTTACTTTTGTCTTAGTGATTTTTAGAAATACTGGATAAGTCTTGTTAATTATTTGATTGGGAAATCTCAGGAGACATGAAATTGGATTTCTCACTTTAATGGTATAGACCTAGTGTTTTCATTCTTTTAGGATTATTGCTTTTTGCCATCTAATCCCCCATGTCAGACTGTATACTACCTTATTGCTTTTGTGTCCTGGTGAGTGAAGTTTTTCCTGTTCTCTTGTTATGGACAGAAAAAGTCCTTGAAGTCCCTAGGCTTTATGGAACATCATTAGCACAGCTGTCTAACCAGTGTCACCCTCGAATCATGTCACTTGCCTTTGCTTGGACATGAAAAGCCCAGGTCAAAACTCGTTTAGTCCCTTATCCTGGTACAAATTTCTTTTGGGCCTTCACCATGACAGTTTCCATCTGTATATTAATAGCTTTGCATTTCATATGCTTCTAGCATTGGATTTTGTTTTCTTTCTCTAAAGATTATATATGTGTGTACAACTTTAAGGTGTTTTTAATTAGTATTTTTACGTGTTTGCGAAGTTATCTAAGGGGAAGTGAATAATATGGAAAGTAAGCATCCAAATCAGATCAGTTTGCCATTCCTGAAAAGTGATCAGATCCATCCAATTGCAGTGACTATGCAGTGGGTGACTAGACTTAAAGTTATTTTTGGGCTATGGGCCAGAGCGTTTCTTCTGGCCAAATTTCTTGAACTGCATGGGACCCATTATTTTGCTGAGCTGATTTAGTCCCATATGAACTAATTCATCTTTTTGTCTTTGTTTTATAGAAGCAGATTTCTAAAAATAATATTGAAAAGACAAAGCCCAAATTTAGAAAAAGGAAAAGGTATGCTTTTAGAAATTAAACATTATGATAAAATTAAAATATATATTGGATTTAGTAATTGCGTGACCTTTCTCACAGTCTTTGATTCTGTTTCACTTGAAAAATACTGTGTTTACAGTTTTCTAAAAGAATTAGTAGAATTATGAGTAGTAAAAGTTTTATATTTATGAAATATTTTGAGCCAAACTATTAAAGATTAACATCACATGAGCAATCAGGTGAGAATCTGGTTTTTAGTTCAAAAATAGGTGATATAAACCAGAAACAGGTTTTCATAATGGACTGATAAGCCACAGATGACAAGTTTTAGTGTTTATCATTGAACCATCATTTTTTTAAAGAATGGGAATCAGTGCTGTGTTCGGAGGGATCCTATTCAAAAACAAGGACTGACACTCATAGGAAGCCCTTTTCTTCTTCTTTGTACTTTTTCAGAAGATGAGTAACTACATTTTAAAAATGGACTTCCACTGCCTTATTTCATTACACTTCACAGTAACCCTATCAATAGTTAGGAAGTATATTATAATCTGCATTTAAAAAAATGAAGAATTCCTGGCTTGGAGAAGTCAGTGACATTCTCAAGATCTTAGGGTTAGACAAATTATATTTGAACACATTTCTTCTGACTCTGTGTTAACAACAGGGAATAGTGGAAACAGTATGGATCTTGCAGTCTGACTGAATTTAGTTCTACTGTATTCTACTATTTACCTAAGTTGTCAGATTTCTCATTTTTCTCTGATATCTCAAATTCTGTTTCTTTATATAATGACAGAAACTATTCGTAGGTTTTTTTGGAGGAGGATAATGAAAACGCTTGTGTAAGGTGCTTGGTAAATTGTTATTGCTTTGCACATAGTGAGAGCTCAAAACAATATTAGTCTTCTTTTTTCACTGCAGCAAACTTTCTAACTACATAAAACAACCAAGAAAAGTATTTTAAGATAAGAATATATATATATTTATAATCTACAGTTACTAATGAATATACATAAATGGTCATTTAAATATATATAATAGATCTTTTGAAACTAAATCTGTCAAATTCTTTTCCTAGGAAAGCAACTTTAACATACTCTTCTGAAAATGTTTGTTACAATGATGCCTTATCAAAGGAAAACATGGGTATGTAAAGGCCTGTCCTGCTTTTGGTTCTTTAACCTATATATAATTCCACAAAATGTAGTTGTAGTCCTCTGAAAGCAAAGAAAGATCTGTTTTTTTTTGTGTGTGTATACATATACACATGTATACATACGTGTACATTTATACACATACATACATGTGTGCATGTATACACATATATGAGAAATATTAATGGATTGTTTGTGTTATTGATTTAGATACTGAGGCTTTTAAATCTTCTTTAGGTTTCTCTTTCCTTGAATTAAATTTTCTCTGTTTAAGTCATGTATTTAATTTTTTAAAATAACGCACCAGGCCAGGTGTGGTGGCTCAGGCCTGTAATCCTAGCACTTTGGGAGGCTGAGGCATGCAGATAACTTGAGGTCAAGAGTTCAAGACAAGCCTGGTCAACATGGTGAAACCCATTTCTACTAAAAATACAAAAATTAGTTGGCCGTGGTTGCGTGTGACTGTAGACCTAGCTACTCCAGAGGCTGAGGCAGGAGAATCACTTGAGCCTTGGAGGCAGACCTTGTAGTGAGCCAAGATTGGGCCACTGCATTCCACCTGGGTGACAGAGTGAGACTCCCACTCAATAAATAAATAAAACATAAAAAATTGTACAATAACACACCAGCAGCTGTGGAAAGAAATACTAGCAACTATACGTTTCAATCTGAACCTCTTCATTCCAAACTTACTGGGATCCTAAGAGTGCCAAAGGGAGAGAAGAAAGAAAATCAGCAGCCTGGGACCTTCAACTAAATTGTCATTTGCTAGAACACTGTAGAGTGAATGTGGAATGCAGGGAGAAACTTTTAGTTTTCAAAGGCAATTTCCTTTTTCTACATTTTCTTTAGTCTTGAAAGCAGTCAAATGCTTATTTGCAATTTAGAACTTTGGCAGTCATGTTCAAAGCTCATTAAACCCTGAGGAGTTATCAGTGATATATTTATTCCCTTTTCCTTGAAGCCACTCCCAGGGCATCCTATGGCATTGCAATTCAATTGGCTAAATAAGTCAGTCATTGTAGTCTTATTAAAAACAAGGAAAGCCAGGTGCAGTGCCTCATGTCTGTAATCCTAGCATCTTGGGAAGTTGAGACAGGAGGATCCCTGGAGCCCAAGAGTTAAAGACCAGCCTGAGTGACACAGTGAGACCTCATCTCTAATAAAATAAGAATAATAAAAAAATTAGCTGGGCATGGTGGCACATGCCTCTAGTCCTAGCTTCTGGGAAAGCTGAGGTGGGAGGATCTCCTGAACCCAAGAGTTTGAGTTTGCAGAGACCTGTGATCATGCCACTGCACTCCAGCTGGGTGACAGAAAGGATCAAGTAGTTATTTTTTAAAATCTACTTGTTCTCCTAAACCACTACAAACTTCCGTTGTTTCTCTCTCTTTTCAAACTTATTCCATTCCTGTTTCCTTAGTAATTAAGGTGTTTTTTCTTGGCTATTTTATCCCTTTGCTTCACATGATCATTTGTATGTTCCTGTAGAAAGGTAAAAGGCTGTTTACTGAGTTCCCACTAGGAGACCCTGGCACTGAAGCTGAGGCCAGGATCCTTCTCCCCTCCAACTCACACAAGATACTACAGGAGAAATCCACTGTAGCCCAGAGGCATCCATTGATTGGAAATGACTCTTCCTTGTAATAAATGAATACATCTTGGTAGTTATCCAGGTAAAGGAAGTCTCTTCAGGACTGTAACTTTCGCTATGGCTCCAACAGTCTCAAAAGTTAATTGTTAAAATAGTTAACCAAATAGGTGTTTTATTTCTCTATCCCATTGTGAATCAATAAAGATCAAGAACATCGACTCTACTGTGTTCTTTGCTAGAGTTCATTCCCTTCCAAAAAGAGTGATTCTTTTTCAAGTTTCACTCTTCTCAAGTTTTTTATCCCCTATCTACCTTTCTATGGATCTCTCAATCTAAGCCTCTAATATTTCCCATTTCTCCACAGCTTAAAGTAAGATCAGTCCTAGATCAAATTATAGAAGAAAGTTATACCATATTTTTGAATCTCTGTCCCACTTCTTAGACCCACTTTCCTTATACTCCCAGATGTTAAAGTTTCCACATTAGTCTTCTGCCCCAGATTTGCTGTTTCTTCAAGAGCTTTATGCTCCACTAATTGCTTATCTATGTCGCTCTCAGTAAGCTTATCTCTCCTCTTTTCCTGTGGAACCATGAGTCAATTAATCCTTTTTTCTTTATAGACTGTTGAGTCTAAGGTAGTTCTTAGCAATGGGAGAATGGACTAATACAGCCCTCATCCCCTTTATCCCAAAAATGCCATGCCTCCCATTTCTTTTTGTGTCTCCGGGAATAGTACTCTCTTTTTTATTAAATTTCAACATTTATTTTACTCATGTCTACATTTAAGTTGTAAGCACACAGAGACATGTTTGTGGCTACTTTAAAACAAAAGAAAAACCAAGTACTTTTTCCTCCTTATCACCCTCCTCTTTTATTAAAATGCCGTCAGAATTTCAACATTGAGATAGCCCTGAAAATTTATTTAGTATATTTTTTTCAGTGCCAGCTTTGGAATAACCCAACCAGTATATAAGGGAATGTGTTAGTCTGTTTTTGCATTACTATAAAGAAATACCAAAGATAGGGTAATTTATAAGAAAAGAGGTTTAATTGGCTCACAGTTCTGCAGGCCTTCTAAGAAGCATGGTGCTTGGCTTCTGGGAGCCTTTCCATGAGGCTTACAATTATGGCAGAATTATGGTAAAGGGGGAGCAGGAATGTCACATGGCAAAAGCAGGCACAAAAGAGGAGAGAGTTGCCACATACTTTTAAACAGCCAGATCGCATGAGAACTCATTCATTGTTTCAAGGACAGTACCAAGGGAATAGTACTAAATCATTCCTGAGAAATCTGCTTCTGTGATCTATTTACCTCCTACCAGGCCCTGCCTCCAACATTGTGTGTTACAATTCAACATAAGATTTGGGCAGGGACATAGATCCAGACTCCATCAGGAGGAAACAGCTTCTCAAACATTTAATAGATAAGTTGAGGTGAAAGAAAACTCCATAAATATATATTTAAAGTTTTAAAATAATGATCGAGTTATTGAGACAAACCATGAGTTATTTCTTATCAGGAATGGAAAAGCAACACTGATTTATTTTCTACACATCAATTTTTAAAAGCCAGATATGGAGCTGGGCACGGTAGCTTGTGGCTATAATCCCAGCACTTTGGGAGGCTGAGGCGGGTGGATCACTTGAGGTCAAGAGTTTGAGACTAGCCTGGCTAACATGGTAAAACTTCATTTCTACTAAAAATGTAAAAATTAGCCAGGCGTGGTGGTGGGTGCCTGTAATCCCAGCTACTTGGGAGGCTGAGGCAGGAGGATTGCTTAAACCTGGAAGGTGGATGTCGTGGTGAGCTGAGATCATGTGAAACTGTATTCCAGCCTGGACAACAGTCAAAAAAAAGCAAGATATGGACTTCACTATTGCAGATACATTTTTTTAAAAAACTTTCTCTGAGTGATGGAGTAGCCATAATGCTACCACTTTACTCTCAGCAATAAATTGAAACAACTCAGAGAAGCTACAAGATAATCAGTATTGATAGAAGATGATTGGTTATGCAATCAGCAAAGACATTCATTTTGTCTGTGTCTTGGAGGACATTATTGACCAATTTTGATGACATAGTTTGTAGATTACAGTAACTGCTATTTTTGAGAATTATTTTTTAACTTAATTCACAATATAGGAATACTTATTTAGAAAAGCAAACCTCTCACTGCTCTGGAAGCAGAAGCTGACAGCAGTCAGGTTGGTATTGTAAACCCTAGTTGACTTATGAAGTCATCCATTACTTTGTCTAATTTTGATCAAACGGCAGCGTACGTATTTCTTCAGATCACTTGAAAACAGCCTACAATGCCACTTGGCAATGTTATTTATTATCAAAAATTGATTATCTTTTAGCCTAATATTAGAAATATAAAGATGTTTGTTTGCCTTTTTTTTTTACAGCATAGCTTAAAATCTGTCTTCTCAATAGTGCATTAAATGTCATTGTCAATTTTCATAGACTCATAATGTAAAGTAGGAAAACATAACATTTGTGAGTGGAACTGGGGAATTGGTATGAAAATAACCATACGCAGTCATCTATTAAGTAACAAATTACTAAATAAGAAATCTGTCTTAAAGAGGGTTTTAGTTTTATTAAAAGAAAAGTGCTTCAATAACAAACATGCATTCCTCTAGAAAATCCTGTTTTGATAGACATGGTATTGTTATGTGTTTAAATAAACTCCCCAGGTGATTATTATGCCCAAAAAATTTTGGATACCACTGTTTTAGAATTTAGCATTCTGTTCTGTGTTCTTAGGCCTTAGCAGTAACCCTAGACCACAGATCTATGTGGATGCAAGTAACATGTTAATTATAGGTTTTGCTTGTTTTGTTTTCAAACGTGAGAACTTTTTCTAAGATGTGGAGTGGCTTATTAGAAAGCTTCTTTCAAACTGTTTTGAAAGAGGTTTTCCATAGAGAAAACCTAAAATTGACTAGGCGGAGGTAATAGCTAGGAAGTCTTATTAGTCTATGCCTATTTTCTTGAGTTCCTGCCTCTTAGTAAGCAAACAGTAAATATTTGTTGATTGAATATGACAGTGGCTCATGCCTATAATCCCGGCACTTTGGGAGGCCGAGGCAGGTGGATAACAAGTCAGGAGATCAAGACCATCCTGGCCAACATGGTGAAACCTGTTCTCTACTAAAAATATCAAAATATCCAGGTGTGGTGGCGCACACCTGTTGTTCTAGCTACTTGGGAGGCTGAAGCAGGAGAATTGCTTGAACACAGGAGTTGGAGGCTGTAGTGAGCAGAGAACGTGCCACTGTACTCCAGCCTGGTGACAGAGCGAGACTCTGTCTGAAAAAAAAAAAAAATATATATATATATATATATATATATATATATATATATATGAAAGTGCTTGGGGAAAGCAATAAATATTGATAGAAAAATTATTTTCAAGACAAATTTGTGTTTTGAAAAATATACTAAAAGTAGTTTTTCCAGTATTGTAATGACAACCAAGAAAGGGAAACCTTTCTATTTCATAACCTGCCATGATTTTATTTAACATTATTTCACAGGCACTTTAGAAGAATTTTTAATTTTCCTATTTATGTCCTTCTTGGTTATATTTTCATGTTCCATGATGTTTCAGCTGTTCTACTTGGTGTGATTTTTGCTGACTTTCCCATGAACTGCAGATAACAGAAGGTGCTGTGTTAGCTTTTAGTTACATGTGGAAGATGAAGGAATGTGTATACTCACAGCCTTTCTTTCTGAATTACATTGACTTTGGAAGGGCTTCTCAGACACTCCATCTGCCTCTGGTGTAGGACAGCAGGCCACATGTGGCCTCCTTTCTTTGAAGCAAAGGCTTCAATAAGCCCTATAGCAAATGAAAATGTTTGTTTTATTTAAGTCAAGAATTCAAATACATATTTTTAATCGATAGCAAAGTCTAGGCCGGGTGCAGTGGCTCACACCTGTAATCCTAGCACTTTGGGAGGCCTGAGGTGGGTGGATCACAAGGTCAGGAGATCAAGACCATTCTGGCCAACATGGTGAAACCCTGTCCTTACTAAAAATGCAAAAATTAGCTGGGTGGTGGTGTGTGCCTGTAGTCCCAGCTACTTGGGAGGCTGAGGCAGGAGAAGCGCTTGAACCTAGGAGGTAGAGTTTGCAGTGAGTGGAGATCATGCCACTGCACTCCAGCCTGGTGATAGAGCAAGACTCCATCTCAAAAAAAAAAAAAAAAGTTAAGTCTTTAGTTATAGCAGGTTTTATTTTTTTTGGTGGGGATATTGTTTCATGTTAGCAAGGTCAATGAATTATCAGATTTTTTTTTCCTATTTATATATTTATGTCACAGTGGCACAAAAACACCTTTTATAAATGCAGTATATTTTTAATCAGATTAGGAAAATAAGATGTGTTGCCATTTGGATTAGGAAGGCACTAGCCTGTGTTCAGCCTAGCCACTTAATTACAAAACTTTTTCTTTTAAATAGTAGTTTAATGGTCTATAGTAGAGGTTGGCAAACTGTGGTCACCAGCTGCTGACTGTTGTTGTAAATAAAGTTTTATTGGAACATAGCCACTCTCAATTGTTTATGTACATGTCAATGGTTTGTGCTACAATAACAGAATTGAGTAGTTGTCACAGACCATCTGGCTCACAAAGCCTGATATATTGGCTCTATGCTGTTTCTATAAATAATATAATTTAGTTTGTTGCCCTTGGCCCCTAATTTAAAAAAATTTCCAGTAAGTTTTTGATATTTCACTTCTACTTTATGGTTTATACATAGCAAGACTATCACTTACATTTTTCAAGGAAGAATTGTAAATGATTCACCTGGAAATTCATAATAATTCTGTATCAGGGGGAGGTCATATATGAAAATTATATGAAACATTTGTATTTTACCTTGTAGCATTTAAAAGATTCTTCTTTCTGGGTAGTTAAGATTATGAATTAGATTGAATTAAGTGAGATGTAGCATTTTTTACTGTATTAATCATGTTTTTTTAGTTGTTTCTGAGACAGAAATTTTACTAAAAGAGCTGGAGCAAATGCTACAGCAAGCAGTGCAACCCACAACCACAGCTGAGGAGTCTGAAGAAGGGCATGGAGAGGAAGTAAATACAGGAGAAAAGGTAATATTGATAGTTATTTTCAGGCATAAATAACAACTCCAAATTCTTTAAACAGCAGAATTGTTCTGGTTGTACATTTTAATATATAAACAACTATTTTCATATCTGAAATTTGAGTCCTTGATTATCATGAGGTGAATAATAAACTAGTAGCCTGTTGAGAAATCAAAACACATCTATCAGTATTTGAAAAAAAATCTGTTTTTAAATAGAGGAGTTCTTTAAATTTTAAATCTTTGGGATTGGAGTGAAGAAAGATGGACGATGCTCATTGTAGCTGAAGTAGGCCCCTACAGAGGGAACTCCCCCTTGCTGCCAGTCTTTACAGTCAGGAGCAGGGGCCAGGATAACAGGAGCTCACTGGAAAATCTGCCCTGTCTGGGTTATGCACCAAGATAATCTCAATAGGGACAAACCTTATGAACATACTGGAGGTAGAATTTTTCACTGGAATATGTTTTACCATTTATATCTAGATTTGTCCTTTTTTAATTTTGTCATTTGGCTTTCTATGTTGAACTCAGAAAAGCAAAATGTGCTTACTGTATTCAGTGTCTCTGCAAATAAAATGAGAGTTTGTGATACAAGGCTTAGGCCCTTAAGTCACAGCAGCGATATGGTAAGTATGAGAAAAAGAAGTCATAGGGTAGATAATTCCATGTGGCAGTGTAGCTGTTCCCTAACTAGGAAAAAAAAAATGGCAGTGAGAAGTTCTGTCCCTTTAAGGTTTTATTCAGTTAGATAAACAGTGTGCCTGGAGTCAAGAGAGCCTATTGACGCTGACTCTGGAATATAATGCATGTGTCCCAGTCCTGGTCCTGCCAATAAGGACTTGTGTAATTTGGAAAAGTGGCTTATCACTTACCCCAGAGGATTGTGTTGAGGGTGAAATATGGTAAACCAGGAAAAGTGCTTTGCATAGGAACAAACACCCAAGGTTTGGCTATTATTACAGATGAGAACTGGCAATGTCAGTTGCTATAGAGAATAAGTGCTTGGATTTTCTTTCTTCATTTCTGTTTTTCCACATTCACACTTTGAGCAACTGCCTATCTATAAGTCTGTCTGTTCTAAGATGTAGAAAAAGGTGAATTTGTAAATGGACAAAGGAGTTTCCACCTTTCACCAGACTGCCCAGTTGTATGATTTCATTCAGAACATCAACAAAAATAATGATTATTCTCAAACACATTCTTTATTGAGTTAGAAATTAATAAAATATACAGATGGTACTGCTATGGAGGTGAATATGTTAAAGGAAGATGATATTAATGTTAAAAACTCCTACTGAGTTGAAAACGTAACTTTCTTAATCAGCATCAGCAATATCAGTTTTTACCTGAATGTGCATGGATTGTAAACGCTACTTTTCCAGTTGGGTTCTTTTCTAAAAAAAGACTTGTTTTCTATATGGGTCTTTTGCAGAATAAGACCTGTAGGTTGGTAACATACATTCCATATACACATAATTAATATACAAATTATTCTTTTCCAGCAAATGTGTGTTTTATTTGAATACCATATGGTTTTGTGCAGTGTTTTTCAGTGCTAGCAGTTTCTTTGAAAACATACAGCCAGGTTGGTCTTTATAGTGATGTCCTGGAGCTTTTACAGGCACAGAATTAACTTCTATTTTGCCGTTATAAGTAGTAATTTGATAGAAGAGAATTACTTCTTATTTTTATTTCTTAAGGTAAAATACATAGCTTTAACGTATCACCAGGCAGGAGCTTTCTTTTTGTTTTAGATTCTTGTATTATTTTATGCTTTCAAACAGCATTTCAGAAGTGTAAAAATTCGCTATTTTAACTGGCTGATGGGCAGGTGAGTGCCTCCTGGTTACCGGTTCATAAGCCATTGTGCACACTGAGCTTTGTAAGTCTGTCATTCATACCAGATTCAGGATATTTGGGTGGTTGTTCACTTTTAAATGAGGTGAATAACTGTGAAACCAGCTAGGAAAGCTGGAGCAATTTCAGTTTAACAGTAAAGAAATAATCACATGTAGGATTTCATGTATTTATTTATTTATTGTTATTAGAAATAATTAATATGTCTGCCAAAGGCAACTCCACTTAAATCTGGAGATATGTTGTTTTTAAAAGAAAGTAGCCTCTTATAAGTTAAATATGCCAAAAAGAGCCTCCTTAAGAATTTTAAAATTCTGAACACATTGATTCTCTGAGAAGACATTGTATAAGCTGTTTTCAAAGTTGTCAATTTGATGATGTTTTCATCATCCATTTCACCTATGAGGTTTCAGTTGGATTATCTCAGGCATTTACATCAATGGATGAGAGTAGCAACATGGAAAAAAGCTTATACACATAGATAATGAAAACTCGTTTCTATTTGTCATTGAAATGTTTTGTGAAATTATTTTCCTACGTAGAGTCACCTTCCTAATTATGATCTTCTTAAGCTAACATTAACATTGGATTAATATTAGCTATATTCACCCTACATTATACTATAAACACATTCACCCTACATTATACTATGTTATTTGAATACTAGAATAATAGAAGAGTTTGTATAGCTAATGTGGCTTGAACAATTACTGACTATGTTTTGTTCAAATTATCAGGTAAATTTGAGTTCTGATTAATTATATGGTTGTTTTGCAGTTATCCAAATGTAGCCCAGAAGCTCCTGCAGGCAGTCCATTTGAAAACCACTATGAAGAGGACTACCTTGTAATTGACGGGATAAAATTAAAAGCTGGAGAATGTATTGAGGATATAACTAATAAATTTAAAGAAATAGATGCTTTGATGTCTGAGTTTTAGAACATTATGCATACTTTTAAAAGTTAATTATTACAAATTGGCATCTTTGTATTTATCCAAAATTAAAACCTTAAAAATGTTTAGGAAATAGGTATGCATTATACCAAAATTGATATTTGCAATAACTTTCTACTTCATACTTCATATTTTAAGAATGGCCATGATTTTTAGAGTCAAACGGTATTTTAGTGTTAAAAATTTAGAATTAAGAAACCCTGATATTTGTATTTGTATATTTCTTGTTTGTCTTAATTCTTAAATTGTTTGTGAAATTTGCCTCACAAACTCATGGTGTACGATGATTATTTAGGTCCTTTATTCAAAAGTGGCTAACTTAAAGTGGCTGCCAAGCAACTCTAATTCTCACAGGTAATTCAAATCTAATAAACATAGTGAATGTGTATTTGCAGTGGAATCAAACTATTACAAAATAAAAGGAAATAATTTGTTAAATCATTGTTTAATAGAGTTGAAACTTTTCTTAAAAACCAAAAATGTCACTTGCTACTTATACTGGAAACAGTTATTTCAACCATGTTTCCCAAAACTGACTGCTTAATAAGTCTCTGGGAGACTTTAGAAGATCAGAATCCTGGACTCTTCCCTGCTGAATAAGTATCTTTGGAGGTATCATCTGGAAGATGAAGAAAATGTAATTTAAAGTGTGTAGAGAGGAGTTAAACATATTCATTATAAGAAATCTAAAAACATAGAACATAAAAACTATATCATTTTTCAGGGATTCTCATGAACAGTTTTAGTAGATATCCTTCTAGATCTTGCTTTAGGTACACTGAAATGTGTGGGCATTCACACTATCTTTAGTTCCTGCTCTGTCTATCTTTCTCTGGGGACAGGGTGGGGAAAAGGGCATTCCAAGCACATAAAAACCAAAGCTTGAGGAGAGAAGAAATGCACAAGAGCATCACCACGCTGGTGAATTTTATTGTGAATTGCCTCATATTGCTTTAACAAGGAGGCAGCACACTTATAAATATTAAAAATAAATAAGACACCAAACAACCAACATACCATTACGGGCTCATTGAGTGGGTTGCTTCTTTTAAGTATTTTTAGATTCTATAATAATCACATAAAGTGGAGAGTGGAGATATACCCATAACAGTGGAATATTTCATTTGCCAAAGTAAAGTATGTATGTATTTCTGTCCTCCATGTTTTCATCATGTATTCCTTAGCATTTTGATATTGTGTCATAGGATGTTGAGTTGCAAAGCCTATTTGGGTTCATATTTTACCTACTAACTTATCTAAGGCATATAACCAGTAAATAGAAGGGCCGGAGTTGAGTACATTTCTGTCAGCTTCCAGATCCCATGTCATTATTTCCATCTATAATGTCTTGATGAAGCTTTTAACTAGCTGGGTCATGGAATGATAATCTAGTTTCCTCATATGTAAAATAAGAATGGAACTATGCAAACCAAGCATTGTTGTGAGGAAAAAATGAGATATTTTTTGTGAATGTGGTTTGCAAATCAATTTGCTCTTCTGTTTACTCTTTGCAAAGATAATCAAGTATGTGTTTAAGTATATTGCAATTAATAATTACTAAGATCAAATATAACTATATATTTGAAATGATCACTTTTCCTACTCTTACATTATTTAATCTACTACTCATCAATATCAGAGTTCTTTTTTCTCTTTTATAAAATTAATCTTTGGAAATTATCACAAGCAACATTATGATCTTCTGTCTTTTAAGGTATATCTCACTGTTGAGCTTTAGAAATGGCTTTAAATAACTTTGCTTTCTTAACAGACACTCAGTTAAAAAGGGAAAGGGGGGATGTCTTAGTTTTGATGAGTAGTGGCTGGTTTATTTGTCAATTTGGATGCTTTTCAGCAAATGCCCAAATGCCTTTTGCAAGAACGCCATGTTATTTTTAAGGATCTGTTCCTGCAGCAAGTTGGAATTTGGTCCTAGGCTCAAAGTAACTTGTGAAAACCAGGAAGCTCACCAAAATATTTGATCAGTACTAGTCTCCTTTATTGTTGACAATTCCTTATTATGACATGTAGTTAACTTCCATAAATTTTAAATTTTATGAAATGAACGTTTTGCAATTTGTAGAGGAAAAGGATGAGTCAGGAGAGAAATATAAATGCAACTATGTTCCTCTCTTCTGGAGCTTACAGTCTAGTGATGGAAGAATGCTCACAAGCATAAATGTTCCTCAAAGCAGAAAGTGCATTTGAAAATGGAACATCTGAAACCAGAAGGGAGTTATCTTTCCAAGCAGCTAAGAGTCTGTAATTACAAAATACTTAATACAATTTCTTGAGGCTCAGGTGTCTCCTACCAGCAGTGAGAGACCACCTCACCAAGTCTAAGGTCAGCAGACAGCTAACTTGAGCTGCCAAAAGCTCTTAATAGAGAAAGCTAAGCCAGAGCTAGGATTTCCCTCCTAATCCCTTTTCTTGGCTCCTCTTGAATTTCAGAGCGGGCCAGTGACAATGACACCTGATCTTTACATCTCATTAGTTCTCAGTCTGAAGGGACTTTCTCCTTCTACCAGCACAATTGGATCAGACACCACGTACTCCACATGATCATCATGCATTCCCCCTCTCCACTTCCTCCTTAGTTGCCTGCCTACAACTCATTGTCCCCTTTTCTTCCATAAATACCCTTACTACTGTGGATAAAGGCAAGGTGTGGGAGGCATAAAAGTGGAAGTTGTCAAAGGACACTCATCTTGCATGGTGGTTCTATGTGAACCAGTGTGCTCTTGGAACCTTCATGACAGGGAGGAGTAGGGAACAGTGGGTGAATTAGAGAGCAGGCTGTGTTGACCAATCATCCTTCAGCTCCTGACAAGAGTCCTTCTTCCCTCTCTCATGGATGCCTGACCCTATCTCTCAATAGCAGCTACTGTCAGGCAGTGGTAGAACTGGAAATCACCATTAAGTCACCTGATTTATGAAAGCCTGACTTCTTCTAAGCAAAGGGAGATTAGGGAGTCAATGTACAGCGCTGTGTGAAAACTGCAGGTAATTTGTAAACTGAAGCCCAACTTATGAAGTAGAATGCGTTAAGTACTAGGATGGGGGTGTGAAAGCAAGATTAATTCTGACCATCCTGGTTGACATGGTGAAACCCCGTCTCTACTAAAAATACAAAAAATTAGCTGGGCATGGTGGCGCGTGCCTGTAATCCCAGCTACTCAGGAGGCTGAGGCAGGAGAATTGCCTGAACCCAGGAGGCTGAGGTTGCGGTGAGCCGAGATCGCGCCATTGCACTCCAGCCTGGGTAACAAGAGCGAAACTCCGTCTCAAAAAAAAAAAAAAAAATTCTGACTGCAGGAACAGCTTCATTGAGACATTTCATCCATTCCTTTATTCAATACTTTAGGCAAGGTTTGTGCTAATGCGAGTAGTGAACATATTGTAGCCAAATATTTATAGTAAATACAGTGAACAAGATAGACATGACCTCCAACATCATGGAACTGACACTAACCTTGGGTAAGTTGCTTTAGCTTCTCTGTGCCTCACTTTCCTTATCTAAAAATTAGGATGATGGTGATGATGATGATGATGATGATGACAGTAGTAATAATACCAATCTCATAGAATAGTTGAACAGAATAAGTTAAGACATGTAAAGCACCTAGCAAGGTGCCTGGCACTTTGTATATTATGTTACTGTCATTACTAATTTTATGTTCTAGTTGAAGAGAGAAGCAAGGCCAGATTTTGAAGGTAGAAGGGTGGTCTGACTGAAGAGGATGAAAGTCACAGGGCAAATAAGCACAGAGTTGAGAAAAGTAGGAATAGCAAGTAACTAACCCGAGTAACCAGAGGAAAGGAGACAGGGCGTGAGGGGAGGAATGTTGGCAGTGAAGGTTGAACTAGACAGGTGGGGCTTTGCTCAAGAAGGACCTTGTATATCATACCAGAGGGGCAGCATTTTATTCACAGAAGAGTCAGGTTTTTCAATAGAGAAGGTCAGTGATGACCGGAATGTCCAGGATTAAACACTCAAGGGTGCTGGGCACTGGGACTGGCTTGGAATTAGACCATTCTGTTATTGGAATGCATCAAAGGGTAGTGGGAAGACATTACTATACCACCCTTTGCCCTTGTGTCTGAAGAAATCTGTGCCCTGATGTTAGCTCAGATTGTCAGTTTTCACAGCAAGCACCTTAGGGTTGCCAGCAGGCAGCAAGAACTGGAAGGTTAGCTGTCTCCATGAAATCTTGTTAAACTCTCAGATGCTTGGGAATAATGCACCACAGCTGCAGAGTTTTATTTTTTATTTTTTTATTTTATTTTTTTGTAGGAAGGGAGGAAAGGAGGAAGGGAGGGAGGAAGGAAGGGAGGGAGGGAGGGAGGGAGGGAGGGAGAGAAGGGAAGGAAGGAAATCAGGCAGTGAGAGAGACATTGCCGACCTGGATCTAGAGGTCTACAAGTTGATTTTTTTTTCTTTTTCTTTTTTTTTTTTTTTTGAGAGAAGGAAAGAAAAAAAAGGAGTGAAGGAAAGGAAGAAAGAGGAAGGAAAAAGGGAGAGAGAACAGAAATGTTGCTTTATTCTAAAAAAATGGGTATTAATAATGGCCAATCAATATTTCATTTAAACCTATGAGTAGGTGTGATGTGGTATTGACAAGAATGTATATTTTGTGTATTTAAAGTGGAGAGCTCTATAAATATTTATTAAGTTTACTTGTTCCAGATCTGAGTTCAAGTCCTGGATATCCTTATTAATTTTCTGTGTCATTGAGTCTAAGTCTCTATGTATCTGGGTGTTAGGATCGTTAGCTCTTATTGTTGCATTGATCCTTTTACCACTATATCTTTGTTGCTTTAAAATCTATTTTATCAGATATGAGAATTGCAAGTCCTGCTTTTTATTTATTTATTTATTTTTGCTCTCCATTTGGTTGGTAAATCTTTCTCCATCCCTTTGTTTTGAGTCTTTGTGTATCCTTGTATGTGAAATGGGTCTGGATGTAGCATACCATTGGGTTTTGGCTGTTATCTTTTGATTGGGGGATTTAGTTGATTTAAATTTAGGATTACTGTCATTTGATGTTAACTGGCTGTTTTATTTATTCGTTGATGTAAATTCTTCTTTATGTTGATACTCTTTACTTTTTGGTATATTTTTAGAAAGGCTAATACTGGTTGTTTCTTTCTATATGTAATGCTTCTTTCAGAAGCTCTTGTAAAGCAGGCCTGCAGAGTTTTAAATAGCAAAGGGTCTCTGACTGTCAGAAAGGTTACAGGTAGTTTCATTTGTCCTCCAGGAAAGCTTGATATCATTGTCTTCTCTTCAAGTCAACTTATAGACCTCATTACCTCAAGTTCATCAAGCAGGTTGAGCAGCCTTATAGATTTTACCACACTTTCAGAAGCATGTTGGAAAAGAGTCAGTATATTTTTAACCAACTTCAGCAATTTAAAGCTCTTTGGTGTTGTAGTGCATTCATCCAATTGTCGGTAACTCTCTGAGAGCAGCATCTATGTCAAGAGAGATTCCCACTATTACAACGTAAGTTTCAGGTAGAGGCTACGTGTACTTCCATTTTGTGACCCACCCAGACCACAGCATCGTTTTTTGCACATGTTAAAATACAAGTTTCTATATTGATTTTAAACCTCCTGTCAGTGTAGCCTTTTCAAAAACATCCTGAAAAGTTCTGTAATCAGACACCTTTCTTTTGAATTTAAGATGATTATTGCTTTTTTCCTCTAACTCCTTTCAGCATCTCACAACAAACACATGCTCTTTCAGTTGCTACAATAATGCAGAGTAGCAACCACAAAATGCCAGTGCAACCATAAAATGTCAAATGGCAAAGTACATTTTTTTTAGTTTGAGAGTCTGCAACGTTCCACTGGCTTGGCTACTTTTAGTAGGTCACACTCATGTCTGTGATTAGCTGCAAGTGTACTTAGGTGTGGCTCAGTTGATTTTGCTAGGCTCACATGTCTTGAGTCCAGTCAGTTATCAGGTGATCTAGAGCAGTCTCAGGTGGGTAAATTGGGGCAACTCATCACTGCTGCATATGCCATATTTTATCTTCTAGTAGGTACCCTAGGCATGTTCTCATGGAGATAGAAAAGCGACCAAAGTAAGAGCAGGCCCCCTCATGCAAGTGCTTTCCAAGCCTCTGCCTGCCTCATGTTATTGCTCAAACCTCTGGCAAGTTCCATACCTGACCCTAGAGTAAGATGGGGAGGCACTGCCAAAGCATGTGAATATAGGGCCTTCTATTCAATTCATGCCTTTCGTCTACCACATATGCTTATTGAGGAAGAGAAATTCTTGTTGCATTGATCCCTTTATGATTATGTAATGCCCTTCTTAGTCTTTTTTGATCTTTGTTGGTTTAAAGTCTGTTTTATCAGAGACTAGGATTGCAACCCCTGCTTTTTTTGTTGTTGTTGTTGGCCTTCCATTTACTTGGTAAATATTCCTTCATCCCTTTATTTTGAGCCTATGTATGTGTGACTTTGCACATGAGATGGGTCTCCTGAATACAGTACACCTATGGGTCTTGTTTGACTATCCAATTTGCCAGTCTGTGTCTTTTAAATAGAACATTTAGCCCATTGACATTTAAGGTTAGTATTGTTATGTGTGAATTTGATCCTGTTATTATGATGCTAGCTGGTTATTTTGTCCATTACTTGATGTAGTTTCTTCATAATGTTGATGGTCTTTATAATTTGGTATGTTTTTGCAGTGGCTGGTACTGGTTTTTCCTTTCCATATTTAGTGCTTCCCTCAGGAGCTCCTGTAAGACAGGCCTGGTGGTGACAAAATCTCTCAACATTTGCTTGTCTGTAAAGAATTTTATTTTTCCTTTGCTTATGACGCTTAGTTTGGCTGGATATGAAATCTGGGGTTGAAAATTCTTTTCTTTAAGAATGTTAAATATTGGCCCCCACTCTCTTCTGGATTGTAGGGTTTCCGCAGAGATCTACTGTTATTCTGAAGGGCTTCCCTTTGTGGGTAATCCAACCTTTCTCTCTGGCTGCCCTTAACACTATTTCCTTCATTTCAACCTTGGTGAATCTGACAATTGTGTGTCTTGGGGTTGCTCTTCTCGATGAGTATCTTTGTGGTGTTCTTTGTGTTTCCTGAATTTGAATGTTGGCCTGTCTTGCGAGGTTGGAGAAATTCTCCTGGATAATATCCTGAAGAGTGTTTTCCAACTTGGTTCCATTCTCCCCATCACTTTCAGGTACACCAAACCTAAGTTTAGTCTTTTCACATAGTCCCATATTTCTTTGAGGCTTTCTTTATTTCTTTTCATTCTGTAATCTTGTCTTTATACTTTATTTCATTAAATTTATTTTCAATCATCTGCTTGATTGATTCAGCTATTGATATTTGTATATGCTTCAAGAAGAACTAACTATCCTAAATATATATGCATCCAATACAGTAGCACCCAGATTCATAAAGCAGGTTCTTAGAGACCTACAAAGAGACTTAAACTCCCACACAATAGTGGGAGACTTTATCACCCCACTCTCAATATTAGACAGATCAATGAGAGAAAAAATTAAGAAAGATTTGAACTCACCTCTGGACCAAGAAGACCTAATAG